GATGGTAATAAGAAAGGATGGCTATTCAAGAACACTGTCACGTCAACTATTCATTTGTATATTACAATGGCTAGGCTTTGATTTTATGAAAAAGACTTTTATCACAATTATTGTCACTTTGATTGTAGTATTTCAGACGAAAATGTAGTGAAACGCAATAGATATATAGAAAATATATTGAATTATTCTCAAAGCATGCAATTTTTCTGGTATTGATAAGATATAAATATATAAATCAACTGAATTCTGAGACAGACTTTTATCATAGTTTTGATATTTATTTACACTGAAGATGTAATAGATTAACTGAATACACTGAATATTCTTTTGTAAGATGCAAAACTTTCTTGATCTAATATTGGTAGGATTTACAGTTTTTGCATGACAACTATGTGCAATTAAACTTTAATGAAATATTCTTTAGAAATTTACAATTAAAATAACAAATCTCAGAATACGTGTTATTAGACGTTTAGTACGAGATTGTAACCGATGAACTTGCATGTACACAATTAAAGCTTCCAATTGATGTAGACAAGTATTTGTACATATTTCTTGGTAGCCAAATAGACTTTCTCAGAATTTATTCCCAAAGTATCTATCGACACATAATTTTCATGTATTCAAACAAGAATAATATTAACTGTTTCTTTACACATCCCTTCTGGTCTTTCATTAATTTTGATCACGCCATGCATTTAGATCACCAGGTACTCCTTTCTGATAGCAACATTTTGGTAGTCACGCTCCAGTACTTTGTGAGTAGCATCCAATGAATCATGACTCAGAACGTTCACAACATAGCAGGTGCAGCGCTTACTTAACTCTGTTAATTTATTTTCTTTATACATATCCAGTTTAATGTATCTGAATATCATACTCCATCTGTTTTTTATCAGAAAATGTGCTGAATTGAATGTATACAAATGTTGCGACGTTAAGCAAATCAAGATATTCGCTCCCAGATTTGTATTCTCGAAACTCTAACTCTGAGGCTTATGAAATTGTTGATAATTAGTTATGACTACCCATATTAAATGTAATTTTATTCACTTTTTGGATCATTAGCTCACATATTTTCTTTGGTTTTTCTCTTTCCCAGTCCACCATATTTATGTTATGTTGCATGCTCTCCCATTACACAAGACAAGCTAGATGCTAACTGATACAAACGTAACTGAATGTGAAATCAACTGAACTCAATCGTACATACGTAAGACTAGTTTGACAATGAATATTATTCGATAGTTTATCAAGTGAGAAAATGTACAACAAAAAGGACTGAATGCAAAATATACCATTATACCTATGTAGCAAGATACTGAATATCCGGGAATTTACTACACTTGAAATATTTCCGAATCAGCCATTGGTAACGTATAGCTTGATATGCACGCATATCGAGCTCATACAATGAGACTTGAAACCGACATGAATTCTATACCTATTAACAAAGCGCAGTTAAATTATCGATGATTTGATGGCATCCCACAACAAGGTACGAAATATTGTTTCACATTAGATAGATATGAAAATTCAAGAGAATTCTATTCGTTGATGATTTCACATAAAAATTCTTCTTAAGAGTTTTTCATTTTAATTACCATTCAGGAAACTGCCGGCCGCAAGGTGTTAGGGTTCAGCTCATACAAATCACAATCAACTAACCTGAAATATAAAGTTTAGCTAAGAGTGACTACAATCCTGTAAGGCATCCAGTTCATACATGTTTGGTTCAAAAAAAAGAAATCATCAGAAATTTTTCAATATGAACTTACATTGAATATTGATCCGGTATATCTCGCTTGAAATAACAAATACTTATCATTACCTTGTGGATACTCAACACTTGATAACTTGAATAATCCAATTTAACCTTTAGAGTTTTGTGAAATTTAACAGATCATAGATAAAACTGACTTTTGTTTTATTTTACTGATGTCTTATCTCCTCAGAGTATACGATCATCTAAAATACACGACGACTGAATTGTTCGACTGTTAACTATCACGAAATGATGATTTACAGTCGTATAGTAAATAGTCAGTACAGAGTTGTGGAGATTGTTGAGTTTCTTTGAAACTGCGAATTGCGATTAGTGTTGCACAACCATTCGTCAGTTCAATATTTCAAGGAAATGGTATGTTGTTAAAGGGTAATACAAATCAATATTCTGACTACAACACACATATTAGCAGGGAAGTGCAAACAAACTTTGAACAAGTAGATTATTCATAGGTTTAAGATCAGTGATCATGTACTTTCATCTACATAATTCTAGTATTATTTGTATGAAAAACTGACTAATGTATATGTTGATTCGGCTTATTTAATTATATCCAACATTGATAAACGCCCAACAAACGAATCGACAAATATGATGGAAGACCTAAATGTCAAGGTTGGAATGGACAACACAAGATATGAAGATATTATGGGGCGACAATGAATGGGAGAAAGGAATGAAAACGGTGAGAGCAAGGTGGATCTGATGGAGATGTGAACACACGGATGGCAAAGGAAAAGTAGAATTTCTACAATTGAACAACCTCGGAAACCGACAACCACTATCAATCAAAACCAACTTTCAATAAAAACGTTGAGACAGTTCAGCTGTATGGAGCAGAAACTTGGAGAACCACAAAAGCCATCACATGAAAAATATAAATATTTATTAACAATTTTCAACACAAGATACTTCTGATCCGTTGGCCAGACACTATCAGCAACAGCCTATTGTGACAGAAAACAAACCCGGTCCCAGTTGACGAAAAAATCAGGTAGAAGCGCTGGAGGTGGATAGGACACGCATCGATGAGAGCACTCAACTGCGTCACAAGATAAGCCCTCGCTTGGAAGCCGGAAGACCGGATGAGGAGAGGGAGAACAAACAACACATTGCGCCGAGAATTGAAAGGAGACATGACAAGAATGAACACTGAATGGATGGAACTGGAAAGGAAGGCACAGATCAGAATCAGTTAGAGGACGCTGGTCATAGTGTAGTGTGTCAATTTACTGCGTGTTCTTAAGCTCGGTAATTAGCTCGACCATATAATCGTTACTAACTAGCGTCTGACGGTTTATAAATCAGAAGGCGAACTCGTAGTGTTGAATACGTTCATTTGGAACACACCACAAAGCGAGGCCGAGAATAAAACAGACGAAGCGACGTGTACTGGAGAAGGCTGATGAGCCAACTGAAAGAGATAGAGCATGACTAAGAATATACAGTCAGACAAATATACGACAGACGTGCAACAAGCGAAATAGGCACACATGAATAAAAGCGACGAATGATTGACGAGGTCAAATGACAAGTGGGGCACGTCATGTAAGCTCATACAAACCAGACAATAATAAGAACGAATGGTACATATAAATTGTGGCAATACAAATGGCTTGGGTAAATAAATTAATCAAAATGGCTTAACCAAGTTAGATGCAAGCGAACTGGAATATATGTGGAGGCACTGCAATAGCACTATGCTTCATTATAAGAAACAAGCCGGAGTAATTAAGTACGCTCGTCACAAGAAGGCTGTGAGTGGAAATTTCTTGGCAGTAGCCATACATATGTCGCCACATGAGAAAGCAAACTCGTACACCCTCCGCTGTACCAGGTCATTTAAAAGCTGCTTCCACAATTATATCCTTTATTCCTTGTGAGAAGGCAGCATCATTACAGATGCTGGTTATCCGAGGAAATCACCTAACTGCTGCCACACAGCCCCTCTACAGTCAGCAAAACGACTTCACCTTCACACCTTGAGTTGCCGCTTTTAGTCTCATCGTTCTCCAATCGACCTACCTGGTATAGTAGAACCAACAAATAAAGCACGGTTGGGTTGTCACAACAGGTGAGCCAAGGCATCACGTCAAGGTAGCTGCTGCCGTAGGGATTAGCGGTTATATTAGCTGCAACTATAATGATTTACTACTATTGCTTTCAATTCCTTATAACAAATTACAATCTATGAGAAAAATCCACATTACAGTACTGCAAATAAATATACTTTCGCACACATAATCTGCAAAAATATGATCACGTTCAAGCTGAAATAAAATAGGATCTGAAAGACAAAACGCAACACGCTATGTCTAGTTGAGAATAGAAATGTTTTTTTAATTGAAATTCCTTAGCCACTCTGTCAAAGCTTTGAAGAAATTCCAAACTAACTATTTTAAATAAACTGAGAACAGAAAATTATTTATGATAGTCATGTGCTTACTTTTTATGTGACTAAAAAACCAAAGAAACAGAACATCAATACAGCGGCGTATATCATAAACAAACAATAGCATAGTTCCCTGAATAATCCAGTTACACATTAACCTATTCTTATCAATTCGTACCGACAGTAAGATTGATGGATAACAAATACCGAGATAGACAAAAGCCATATCTGCTTGAAACAGTGCATAACCCTAAACGCCTCAAAAACACTGACAACACCCAAGTGTTACATGGAAACACCTTTACGCCGTATCCCAAAAATAATAAACAACATATATATTGATTACATAATCCAGATACATAAAATTCATTGCAATAATCACACAGATAAGTGATTAAATATACATAAATAACCATACTGTACAAAACATAGTAGTAGTAATAACAAAATCATGATCATTCATCCTATTCACAATGACAAATTACATCATCAAGATGATTTTACACAAAATTCAAAGACACAAACAACCCTAACACAACACACAGAAACACATATCCACATACTACTGCTGATGAGCAAAAGGATGATCATTGAAAATACAGCCGCAAATCAAAGGGAATTATTGGTATCATTCAACTCACAAATACACAAATTATATAAGCACAAACACAAAATGCAAAATCACATCAAGAAAAAGAAATGAGATGAATGAAAAAATCAATAGATTTTATCAACCATGAAATGCAACGAGTATTCTTCTTCGTCTTCCAATCAAAAGTTCCCAGTTGGTGTGGTTGTTGTGATGGATGCTGCGGCTGCTGCAGCAGCCAGGTTACCATTATTGACGGTGGTCTGAATGGTGATGTTCGTAGTGGAGGTCACAGGAATCAGAGTAGTCGACGAGCTTGTCATTGTCATCGCAGTTGTTGACGACAGTCCCGGAACTGTGGGTGTCGTCGTCGCCGTTGCCCGATGCACCGGATCATGAGCGAACAAGGGAAAATCATTTGGAACTGAGATCAATGGGACATAACTAGCTGGAATATCTTTGAATATATCTACAACACCAATACAATCGATATTCGATGCCAATGTTTCACGTGTCTTCATTTCCCATTCAAGTTTCTGCACCATCATTAATGACTCGGCTTCATGAAGTTGTCGACACAGTAATTTCTTCTAAACACAAAAATGTACACACGCATACACAAACACAATAAATAAAGTCAGATAAAAAGGACTTCGTGCTGGTACGGTACAAAGCTCGTCACAGAACCACACTACAGTTCATAAATCCTACTCCTGAATCATTTTACACAGCATAGTCATTTCATTATTCATAGAATATTCTTACTGACACATTGAACCATTCTTCCATGTGTCTCACATATACCTTTTCTACTCAGCATTATGAATGCTTGTTTATCCCTTCCTAATTTTATCGTCAAACTGCTAAAAAAATTTCCCATATCAATGTTTCTATCATTCCAGCGGTACTTGATAAATTTGTCCTCATTGTTAGTTCATGCCACAAAACAGAAATACCTTCGACAATAATCACTAACAAAAAACAGATTGATTTTGAAAAACAACAACATCGAGTCATCCGATTCACTGCACAACTGCATATGTATGACAAACACCTCAACTCACCTTTTCATTTTGAAATCTATCGATTATGTCTTCAAGCCAACCGATAAATGTACGAGGAGTAAAACGATCACGTATACTCTCTTCTTCCTGTCATCAAAACACACACACACAAGCACATAATATTACAGAATAAACATTTTTGTATTCAAAAACACCCAACAAAATAATGGAACAGTCGTTCATGATCATAAACACTTTCGGGTGTGCTGCCTTTACACACAACTGATAAAGTCCAATTAAAAACAACCGGGCAAACAGCCAACATTCAGCAAAAGCTACATCACCACCACAGACGCACAAATGCAATAACAATGCATATTATCAACTAGGCTGTTATCCGCACAATCTTCAGCTACACTGCGTATCATAGATAGCATAGTTACTAAACACAAGTTGAAAACATTCTTTATCAAATCTCAGAAGCAATCACATTTATATCTTCTCTCTAAAGCACACACACTTTATCATCAGTGTAGAGGAGTGTAACATATCACCAGAATAATCAACAACCCAGTACTCTCTTACATCTTCGAATTTAATCCATATACTCGCAATATTTATTTATTTGTTGGAACACTTTATTATTGGTACAAACGCGCGCACGAATATTTATAAACCACAAAAGTCAATCAGTCAGTCAGTTGCAACGTAGAACTTCGTACGTAAGTACATCAGTTCATGTCGCCATACCACATCAACACAGAGATATAATTGTCAATTCAAATCCAATAGTAGAAGAGGTAGTAAAGGTATTAAAAGTAATCGGAGAGGTTAGGATGAGAAGATATTATTCATGAAGTATGATTAAATGAGATAAGTTTAGAAAGTAAAAACTAGAGGTGTTGAAGAATCCAGAAGATTAGGATTTGAGAGAACACAAAGAATAAATGCACTGGCGCCATTGCGAACGATTTTGAGCCATGTCATTCAAGGTCACTAGCCATCGATTATTATCATCTCGCGGACCCCAACCAGGTAGTCGACAATTACCGACATGGCTAAGTCCACTCGTCAATGACTTCATGGATTTCTGCCATGTTTTGGTCTGGCCGCCCCTAGCTTTCTTCCAACCTATTCCTACACTACAAAACAAAGCTCGACGAGGCAGTAGGTTTTTAGACATAGGCAGCACATGTCCTAACCACCTCAACTGATGAAGTTTCATTACTTTATATATTGATGTGCCATCCTTAACTAGCACCCGATTCCTAATTACAGCGCTGCTCACTCGGGTGTCCCAGGACGTTCGAGCAATGCTTCGAAGACACCTATGATCGAAAACCAATAACCGACGAGTATCTTCTACTCTCATTGGCCATGTTTCACAGCCATAAAGTAAGACGGAGCGAACCACTGCGCAGTACACTCGTCCTTTAGTCAGCAAACGGATATCTCGCCTACGCCATAAGTGACGCAGGTTGGCAAAAGCCAATCGAGCCTTCTGTATCCGTGCCGAGATTTCGTCAGTCACCAGGCCATCGGCACTGATGAGACTCCCAAGATAAGTGAAGCGGTCTACACGCTCGACTACTTCACTCCCTATCACTAGTTCAGGTGCCGTTGCAACCCAATCTTGAAGCAACATTTTGCATTTCGAGGGGGAAAGCCGCATCCCGAACATGCTTGCATTGTTGCTTAGGGTAGTCAGAAGACTCTGCATTTTGTCAGCGTCTTCACTAAGTAGGACAATGTCATCGGCATATTCTAAGTCAATAAGCGAGCCACCTGGTAAAAGGTCTACTCCAGAAAAATCAGACGAGGATAAGGTTATTTCTAGGAGCATGTCTATGATAAAATTAAACAAGAATGGAGAGAGTGGACATCCCTGACGGACACCACTTGATGTAGAGAATTCCGGTGACAGTTCGTCATAAGCTCTCACTCGACCAGTGGTGTTTGAGTAGAGAGCTTGTATGAGGTTAATGTACTTATTTGGTACACCTTTCAATGACAGACACTGCCACAGAACCTCACGATCCACTGAGTCAAATGCCGTCTTAAGGTCCAGGAAAACAACTATTGTAGGACGCCTAAATGTGTGTCTGTGTTCCAAGACCTGTCGAAGTGTGAAAATGTGGTCTATACAGCCACGTCCAGGTCGAAAACCAGACTGGTTTTCTCGAGTCTGCTCTTCACGAGCTTTCGTTAAGCGTCGAAGTATTACTGAGGCAAATATTTTAGATACTATATTAGTTAGACTTATTCCTCTGTGATTGTCACAAGAAGACTTCTGTCCTTTCTTATAGATTGGGACAATCAGTGATTGAGACCAGTCGGATGGGATTACGTCCAGTTCCCAGATTCCAACTAAGATCTCAGTCAATCTAGCTGCTAAAACTGGACCACCATCCTTAAATATCTCAGGGGTCAGTCTATCAGGACCTGCAGCTCGTCCTCGCTTCAGATTTCCTAAAGCTTTTTCAACTTCATTAAGACTAGGGGGACTTACGTCGATTTGCCATTCAGGATGACTGGAGATCGTGGGTAACCGAAGAGTGGCTCGAGGCCAGTTGAACTGATCCCTAAAGTGTTCTGCCCATCGATCCAGTCTCCTGGATTGAGAATGAATAATAGTCCCGTCATTTTCTGAGATAGTCTCGCTTACACTAGGATTCCTAATACCAGTTTCCTTGATAAGTCGGAAAAGTTGTCTACTGTTGCCTATCGCCGCTGCCTTTTCCATCGTCTTTGCTTTCGCCACCCACCACTGTTCGCGATCGTTACGTAGGCTTTTTATAAGTCTGCGCCTAAGTTGACTTCGTTCTTCATCATGCTCAGAGCCAGGTGGAATGAGTTTTCTTGCATCCATCAGATCGGTGGATGCTACTGAGATCCACGGTTTCATTCTAGCCTTATGGTCAACCTTACTAGCAGATATCACTGCTGTTTCCACAGCCTTTTTGATATCATTCCAACCTGCTTCCGGATGGGAATCGCTTAAATGGTCACCTAACTGCCTTTCTAGTTGTTCCTGAAATATATTTTTCGCCTTATTATCATTAAGTAAAACCCTAAGAGGCTTTCTTACGGTGTCTTTCCTACGCCCAGTAAGCTTCAAACAAATACGCGCTCGCACTAGGGCATGATCTGAATCTAGACATGTGCTCCAGAACGAGCGACAGTCCTCTATCGAACCCCTCCATCGGTGGCTGATGGCAATGTGATCTAGTTGAGTCCAACGTTGAGACGACTTTGGAGGTCGCCAGGTCAACAGATGCTTTTCCTTATGCCTAAAGTTAGTGTTTGCTAAGAATAGGCGGTTGTCTGAGCATATTTGCAACAGACGGTCACCATTGTCTGTTCTCTGAGCCGGGACACCATAACATCCACCTAGGTGTCTCTCCTGCTCACTTAGTCTACCTACTTGAGCATTAAAGTCACCAGCCATTATTACTATATCAGAGCGCCTAGCTTTTTGGAGGAGGTCCGAAAGCTTTCTGTAAAACTCATCTTTAACCTCGTCTGAACTGCATTCAGTGGGGGCATAGGCAGATACGACGAAGAGGCAACGGCGAGTGTCCCTATCTTTCCGAGTCCTTACTGTCCCGTTTAGTCGGACAGCGCACAATCGACTATCTACAGGGATCCAGTCAAGGAGAGATTGTTCTGCCCTACGACTCAATGCTATGCCTACGCCAGCAAGACCCCGGGAAGCAGCATCAGGGCTACCGGATACACGAAGGGTAAATCGAGTGGTTTCTTTATCTTGACATGGTGAGGTCAAGTGAAGGATGCTACTCGGATCCTGCATGCGCGTTTCCGAGACTCAGCACACATCGATGGCACGAGATTCTAAAGTCCTAGCTAAGGAAGCCTGTTGCCCTATTTGACACAATGTCCGTACATTAAATGCTCCAACCTGTAGTCTAGAGCGAGGTTTAAGGAGACCAGGAACGACGTTTCGCGAACTCGTATCGTCTGCATTAGCTGTGCACTGTGATGAATGAATGTGAGAAGAGTTAGTCGTGGAGATAAGAGAGGTACTAGGGGGTGTAGGAAGGATTTGATTTTGACCAATTCGGTCTCGCGTGCTGTTATGGGTATGAGGGCGGTTGTCACTTCCCGGCTGCCCACACCGTGGAAGGTTGTTTCTTGACGAACCTGAAAAGGAAGATAGATTAGTGTTGGTGCGTGACCGCAGAGCCCAAGGGACAACTGCTTGAGGTCAGTCACGCATGGCCTTTTTATCAAATGTTTTTTGAGGATTAGCTCCGTTCTTAAAGGCCCTTAGTGGGCACCCTTACCCAAGGAGACGGAAATCCGTGAGTTAGGGGAGGTGTGACATTTTTAGGGTCGACCTTTTCTAACCCTTCCTTCCTTGTGAGAAGGCAGCATCGCTGCAGATGCTGGTTGTCCGAGGGAAACACCTTACTGCTGTCACACCCCTCTGCAGTCAGCAGTACGACTTCGCCCTCAGACCTTGGGGTAGCTGCTTTTAGTCTCATCGTTCTCCAATCGACCTGCCTGGCATGGTAGAACCTTGAGGAACATATGTTCCAGCCAGTATAGCTCGGTTGGGTCATCACGATAGGCAAGCCCGACCACCACGTCTAGGTAGCAGCTACGGTCGGGACAAAAGTCAATCGATGTGAGTGAGAGCCGGCTGAGATATTCACAAGCCGCTCACACCGAACCAACTGGTTTTATCAGCAGGCTGGTAACAAAGCTTTCGCTAATAGGTCAAATCCACAAGGCTATAGAGCAGCGTCAGCAGATGCAGTCCAATGGGAGTCGATAACCAATAATAGGTTTGATTCTTCACAATCCTCAAGTCAATATACAGGTCTTTCAAATCCTCCAGGTGGATCCTCACAAATCGTCAACCCGGTTCAAGTCGCGAACTCAAATTCACCTTTTGTCACTTAAACTCCTCAAACACCCCACTATCACGACAAAGCAGTGAGTTGCTGTTCCTTAACAGTGGCAATACACTCATTAACATATGAGAGCGTTTCGACACGAAGATACAAATAGCCCAACTCTAGGCCCTACAAGACCATTCAGACAGTGAAAATAGATAAACACAAACACATAAAACAATCATAGTACCAAAAACTAATACTCACTCGATTCTCTAATTTACCAACTGGAGGAATATACGTTAAATCATTATAAGATAATATTGAACAAAATGAATATGGTTTCGATTGATTAGCCACTGCTAATGCACCACGAGTTTGAGCACGTAAAACAGCTTGTTCAGCACCCAGTTGTAAATGTTCCTTTAATCAATATAATAATACATTGATAAAACAAATCAGTTGAAATGATCATTCAGTGTATATTTCCAACAAACACATGTCATAACATCACACACACACAAATAAAAATCATATAACAAAATGAGAAGACTTGCACCATCATCTCCAAAAATATCACCATTCACATTGGAGCCACACAAACAAAGCTTCCAATCACTAATAAATAAACAAATACAATCTAGTCTCTTGTGCATACAACACAATAAAACAGTTCACAATCATCAAGAATGATTTTCACGGAATTTCAATTTTATCGCATCAACATAGAACGTGTCGAATTAGTGAACAAGAAACAAACCACTATCTGTTGTGTCCTAACTACGTAACTCTACACTAAAGCATCATTGATCACATCACTGCAATGTATTCACTGAACATTTGCCAAGTCTACCTACTACTCCAACAAGTATGAAGGACTATAAGATTACAATACAGTGATGGTATCCGAGTTACACATGGTGTCGAAGCAGGTACACAAAATACATTCACCAATGCAACTAAGTCACAAGAAACGAGTCGTCTCTCAACCCCTTTCTACTCATGTTTATCCGAATCTCCCAACTAACCGCTCGACTGACAAAAATAACCCACAACACACATACAAACAACATGTACCAAATAATTTTCAATAAAACTCAACACAACAAATAAACAGAGGACAATTCATTTCATACTGCTCTCTTCACAACAATAATCTCTGTCAACCAACCTAACTACAAATCATAACTTCATACAAGTCATATATTCTAATCAAACAACAATACTGCCCACATCCAAATCCATATGCACACGCATACATCACACTTTATGTACAGTAAATCTTAACACTCACTCGCTCCGACTGGTGCTTCAATGCTTGAGCATAACGTTCTTCTTCTTGTTCATTGAACAATTCCACAAATGTCGCATCCAAATGACTTGGTGGTGACTACAGGATAAAACAAACAATTTCATTCAAAAATAATTTACAAAACAAGAAACATTAATCATTATAACTAAACAGCGATCTCCCTCCTTCAATGTTTACACATATCAACCTAGTGTTAGTAAAACAGTGCGAGTTGGAAATGCTCAGCAAATTACGAAACATTATTACAACAACACTAGAGTTTTCAGTTCCACTTCCTTATACATAATTCAGCCTCACTCAAAATAACCCCAACACACAATACTGTTGTGGCATTCCTTCATACCTCATCATCATTATCAGGCTGAGTACTCTTGTGTCATCAAACACAATAAAATTTCAATGACCTAACTCAGAAAACTCTCTGATCAAACATTCTGTATCAATACAACCACTCATCCTCATAAAAAGATCAATAATTTCTTAACCTGTTCCCACTAAACACTTTCCACTGTATCTCAGACAAAAGAGTCGGTGAAATTATACCATAAGTAAGACAACTCATTGCGAATATCAATCATCAACTTAAAATCAACATACATAGGACTGCTCTTACAGATCTCTCTATTCATCTAGAACCAACAAATACCATTCGAAATATCAAACACAACGAAGAGCAGCTCATTTCGAATAAAAACCACATTGAAACAATACAACACAGAGATGCAGTTCAAATGGCACAAGAAGCAAAATAAAATCAAGCCGTCAAATAGACCACTCTAATTTCAACTAACTAACATTATCAATCAATGCAAAGAAACAAAACAATATTAACAACAGTAGTATCCCCAATACATGTTACTAATACTACAGTAATGAAAGAAGACGGAAGATCAGATCGCATAAGCAATCTCTTCAAAGAAGACACCTTCTCCTTGACAAATAGTACACACCACATCATGAAACATCCATTTGCATAACAAGTACATTCTTACTTGTTTTCTTACACATATCTTTTCTCCTTCAAAACATTCTCACCGCAACAAGCACACATACACAACCCAACTCAATACGTTTTTAACTTCAGGCCAACATTCTCCTACATATCTACTGCATATCACCAACTATAAGCGCACACAACACTACCACTGTGAATACTAGTTTCACAACAAAATACTCACCTATTGACTTACTAACTCAATACTCAAAACCTGTGCACACAATAATAATAAGAAACTTACACGCCTCATATACGTCGCAAGTGACAGTTGATTAGCCAGTAGGTAATTACGAGTAACCAACAGGTAATCTTGATAGCCACACGGTGCTTTCGGATACACTTTCACCAGATTGTTGATAATTTCACGTAACTGCACCAATCGTGTGGCCGCAATAGTATAAACCAACCGTCAAACCACCAAAACAAATAAATCAAAAAACAACAACTTATCAATGTCATTAGTACAGTCATATCATATATAGTATGAACCCTAATATGTTGATTTTACATGCCTTGTCCCAGCATTTTGCCCGAATCACTATTCTCATGTCTTTCAACCTTTTCTATTGTTTCCTCATATCATAGTTGTTTTTATTCCAGCACGACTGTAGGTTCCACTTTCTTTGCTTGCTGCATATCTAGTTTATTTTGTCTGACTATAAATGCTTAGTCACGCCTCATTACATTCAAGCGGCTAACTCACCCTCTCCACTTCTCTTCACTCCGCTTGCACGCTTTTCATTCTTACGTCTGTTTGCTTGAACGAATGCAATAACGACTGTTTGAAATAAACTTATTCAACCGAATCCGTATTTGGCTTCTAAACATCGCCGTCTCACAAACGGGGTTCGCCTTAGCATGATATACGGGAACTGAAGAAGAGATTTATTTTGAAGCACAGTTAAACATCATAACTACATTCAGATCACCGGGACACTGAAAGCGGTGAGTCTGACAACAGACATAACTCAAAAACCGAAGTATTACTACTTTACCCTACTCTATAAACAGTTTTGTATCATTCAAAACAAACTAATCATGGGAACATTTCGATTCAGATTTGCCAGAAAACATTCTAACACTTCTACCAATACTATTACTATCTCCAACATTCAAAATCTATCACCATTCAACAATCAACCAATCGACACTCACCATGAACTAATCACAATCACTTACATTCTTATTCAGTTCTGCAGCTTTTGAATAAGGATTTTGAAATTTCAACAACTCAATATCTTTTCGATCCTCATCTCCAGGAGCAGCAGGACAAAATAAATAATTCATGTCCGAATCTCCATCACCATTGCGTCCACTTGTCTGTTCCACTACTGACGAAGATGATGATGGAGTTGGTGCTGTTGTTCCTGTTACAATTACTGTTGTCATCGACGTCGTAGGTCCTACTCCTGAACTTGATGTCAAAAGATTCACATTATTTGATACATCCATATTCAGCAGCACAAGTGAGACAGGAGTTTCACACAACTCCGGCTTCACATCCACTTCCATGCTCTGACTGTGGTTAGTAGTAGTTGTTGTTGTACCCGTTGTAGAAACAGTACTGGTGGCAGACGATGAAACAGAATGTCTTCGTTCCATTTCAGAAACACAAGTCATGTGCACATCAGTAGTATCTTTGTCGGGCAGCACTGTGGACTGGCAATTACCAACAGACACTTTATTCTCATCATCACCAAAGTGACTGTCAATCTGAGAAGAAACAGTCACAGTTGAACAACCTTGTGTATCTTCAATCACTTCCATATTTACGACAGGATTCAAAGACGACAAAGAACTAAAAGATCCATTTGACGAACCAGACTGACCAGTCGTTGTAGGTGGATTATTCACATTTGCTGTTCCACTACCACTTCCGCCTCCACCACTACGATTCTGATGACTACTATTCTCATTACTTGTCACAGCATCCGAACGAGAGCGAAGTTTACGCTTCTTAATCGGAGTAGTATCATCCGCTAAACAGAAAATAAAAGTCACATTGTCTGTGATAAACATACATCGAATACATCGTATAAAACTTATTCTAAACTGACTTAGTGACCAATCAATGATCAGATGAATTTCACACTTCATATCTACCTCCACAAGAAGAAATATGACACTTCTTAAAAAACATGACAAGTTCCTACCAAACTTCCAACTATTCTCTAACTTCTTAAATCAGTTACAGCTTTATGCGAGCCAATCTTCTTCAGTGTTTTATCACTTCCAGCTAACCATTTCTGCTTTGACAATTTACTTACCCAAAACATTGTTGTTTCTTACAGTACGATGGTGCATTTTCTACTGACCAATTATCGTACCAAGGATTAAACACATAATCAAGTGTCAAATTAAGCCTTTTTCACAGCATATCAATGTGCATGCATCAAACTCCATCCTATCACAGAATTAAACGATCCAATATGCCATCTATCGACCCAATCTACTACAAACACTTCAAAACTAATCGCTAAATGATTCACAGAAAAATCTCCAACCACATTTCTTTCACTATCCCATCAACAGAAAACACCATTCTCGTTTACAATTTAACACAAACTATTTACCATCAGTATAAAAGAAATTGGAATCCAAATATTTAAAAAAATAACACTGTACTAACAAAATACATACCATGACGTTCCTTCTCTTCTTTTTCACGTTGAGCAGCTGTATGTGAACGTAATGTACGCCCACTACGATGTCGGTGAGTGTCCTACAACATGAATACATAAAGAAGATGGAAGAACGAATCACAAACACATTCATACAACAATTAACAACAAATAAATATGATATTCTACCTTCCATGCATTTCATCATCGAAAGAAGAGGGGGAGAAGGAACGAAGATTTCAGTGAAACACAAAATATACAATACGCTCATTCTATTAACAGTCAAAACCAATGAGATGGGACACGAACAATGATAACAGTTATCAACAATTTGTTATCCAAATCACTTACGTTACGAAACAAGTTTAAGCGGAAGAAACAACCCTTCCTCCCCCTAAAAGACATTTCCGAAAGTCATCTTCATCACCGCCTATCGACCTTCTCGTCAATAACTACAACAACATTCAACTATAATTTAGTGAATACATTCAGTCACAATAACATCAATCAAATAATTACTACAACTAATTAAACAGATTAACAAACAGACAAATACACGGAAACTCACTTTCGATGTTTCTCGATTACTGTTATTATTATTATTTGCAGCACTATTATTATTGCTATTATTATTATTATTGTTATTATTATTAGTAGCAGTATTAGTACTCTTTCCGTGACACCCATTCGACTCCTGTGTAGTATCTACCTTTACTCGACCAACATTATTTCCATTACTACGAATGCCACTCATCTCAACTGTCTTAACACTGCTCATAGTGCTCGTCCCAGGACTTGTTGTACATGTCGATGATGGTGGAGTGCAACAGGTGGACAACTCAATACTCGATTCTTCATGCTGGATATTCGATGCAACAGCATGACCATGGACCTTAAATGACTTCTCATGGCAACCAGAATACTGATCGTGAACATTCTCAGTACCGCCAGTACTGTGACTAATGCTATTGCCACCGTCGCCCACATCCTCCACGCTCGAACATCCAACCTTATCATGAACTGAAGTACTCGATGAAACTATACTAGTGACAACTGTGGAAACCGCACAACTGACAGTGACTCCAGCTTCTTTACCATCACTTTTGTTATTCACATTGATCACACCATCAACAGACACATGAGGTTTCATCTCGCCTCGATCGCTGATACTCGCCTCATTATTCGCATTACTCTCCACATTATTAGGAGGGTGAGTCGTCAGTCCTCCACAACTTGCTCCGAATGGCGGACACGATGAAGTTATTGATGACGACTCATCTACAGAAGTCCCCGAAGCGAAATTAATAAGCAAAGGTGGAACCTTCAGTTTTGACATTTCTTCGCCTCCTGATGACTCTGAATGGCATGATGTAGACACCTGCCAAGTACAATTAACAGAAAATACAAATCTTGTAGACACAGATCAATACAAATAACAAGATAATCATAATGTTCAAAATTCAGTAGAAAATTGTCTAAATAATGAACCATCACCAAATAAAAACCTACTTCCCATCTCACTATACGATTGTGAAAAATACTGAGTTTCGTTGAAATCATCAACACATCTACGTTAGACAATGGTCAGAAACCTGCAAGCACTGAACAGCCGTTCCGCTATACTATAGGACTCACCATTATTGTGCATCCACGGCCCCGCATATGGGACTCGAACCCAGAAATATCAGGACCGCACGTGAATGACTAACCTCTAAACAACTCAGTCTCGTTTGTGCGCAAGACCGATTCGATTGCCACAGGCAGGTTCGTGCATACACACTGCCCATAAGTCGCAAACAAGGATGAAAACGACTTCCAGAGCTCCTATTTCCTAATGGTGATCTAATATTGATCGATCGACGATGTAAATTAATACACCCACTAAATACATGGTTATCAATCACACATCAAGTGTGAGAAATAATTTATACTTATTCTACGTCACTAAGCGATTTTGCTGGTAGAAAGTCAACCCCTGAAAAATCTGACGAGCTTATTGTTAACTCTAAGAGGATGTCTACGACAAGTTAAACAGGAATGGAGACACCACCTCTTGAGACGGACACCACTTGATGTAGAGAATTCAGATGACAGTTCGCCAAAAGCTCACACTCGACCAGTAGTGTTCGAGTAGAGTCCTTGTATAAGGTTAATGTACTTCTTTGGTACACCTTACAAAGACAGAGACTGCCACAGAACCTCACAATCCACAGAGTCAAATGCCGCTTTTAGGTCCAGGAACACAACTATTGTCGGACGTCTAAATGTGTGTCTGCGTTCCAGGACCTGTCGCAGTGTCAAGATGTGGTCTATACAGTCACGTCCAGGTCTAAAACCACAATGGTTTTCTCGAGTCTGTTCTTCATGAGCTCTAGTTAGACGTCTAAGTATAATGGAGGCTAACAATTTAGAAACTGTTAGTTAGACTGATTCCCCTGTGATTGTCACAAAAGGACTTTTGTCCTTTCTTGTAGATTGGGACAATTAGCGACTGAGACCAGTCAGATGGGATTACGCCTTTTCCATCTCTCTTGCTTTCGCCACCCACCACTGTTCGAGGTCGTTACTTGGGCTTTTTATCAATCTGCGCTTAAGCTGACTTCGTTCTTCATTATGTTCAGAGTCAGATGGGATGCGTTTTCGAGCATCCATCAGTTCGGCGGAAGCAACTGAAATCCACGGCTTCATCCTAGACTTAAGGTTTGCCTTGCTAGCAGATATCACTGCTGTTTCCACAGCCTTCTTGATATCATTCAAACCTGCCTCCGGATAGGAATCACTTGCATGGTCGCCGAACTGTTTTTCTAGTTCCTCCTGAAATATTTTCTTGGCTTGATTATCATTAGGTAGAACTCTAAGAGGCTTTCTTACAGTGTCTTTCCTACGTCCAGTAAGCCTCAAACAAATACGCACTCGCACTAGGGCATGATCTGAATCTAAACATGTGCCCCAGAAAGAGCGACAGTCCTCTATCGAACCCCTTCATCGGTGGCTGATGGCGATATGATCTAGTTGCGTCCAACGTTGAGACGACTTCGGGGGTCGCCAGGTCAAAAGATGTTTTTCCTTATGCTTAAAATTAGTGTTTGCTAGAAATAGGCAGTTATTTGAGCACAGTTACAACAGACTGTTGCCACTGTCTGTTCTTTGAGCCGCGAGACCATAACATCCACCTAGGTGTCTTTCATTTTCACTTAGTCTACCTACTTGAGGTCCGAAAGCTTACTGTAAAACTCATCTTTTACATCGCCTGGACTGCAGTCAGTGGCGGCGTACGCTGATATGACGAAGAGGCAACGACGAGTGTCCCTATCCTTTCGAGTCCTTACTGTCCCGTTTGGTCGGACGGCACACAATCGACTATCTAATGGGATCCAGTCTAGGAGAGATAGTTCTGCCCCACGACTCAATCCTATACCTACACTAGCGAGACCCCTGGAAGCAGCATCAGGGCTACCGGATACACGAAGGGTAAATCGAGTGGTTTCTTTATCTTGACATGGTGAGGTCAAGTGAAGGATGCTACTCGGATCCTGCATGCGCGTTTCCGAGACTCAGCACACATCGATGGCACGAGGTTCTAAGGTTCTAGCTAACGAAACCTGTTGCCCTATTTGACATAATGTACGTACATTAGATCCTGCAACATGTTGTCTAGAGCGGGGTTTCAGGAGACCGGAAATGACGTTTCGTGAACTCATATAGTTTCCATTAGCTGTGCACTGTGGTAAAGGAATGTGAGAAGAGTTAGTCTTAGAGATAAGAGAGGTATTAGGGAATGTAGGAAGGATTTGATTTAGAGCAATTTGGTCTCGTGAGGTATGGTGGCGGTTGTCACTTCCCGGCTGCCCATACCGTGGAAGGTTGTTTCTTGAGGGACCTGAAAAGAAGGGTGGATTAGAGTTGGTCTTAGAGACCTGGGAGCCTGACCGCAGAGCCCAAGGGACAACTGCTTGAGGTCGGTCACACACGGCCTTTTTATAAAAAGTTTTTTGAGTATTAGCTCCGCTCTTAAAAGCCCTTACTGACGGAGACGGAAATCTGTTAGGTGGGGTGAGGTGTGACATTTTTAGGGTCGACCTTCTCCAACCCTTCCTTCCTTGTGAGAAGGCAGCATCGCTGCAGATGCTGGTTGTCCGAGGGAAACACCTTACTGCTGTTACACCCGTCTGCAGTCAGCAGTACGACTTCACCCTCAGACCTTGGGTAGCTGCTTTTAGTCTCATCGCTCTCCAATCAACCTGTCTGGCATGGTAGAACCTTCGGGAACATAAGTTCCAGCCAATATAGCTCGGTTGGGTCATCACGATAGGCAAGCCGGACCACCACATCAGGGTAGCAGCTTCGGTCGGGAGTTCACCAGTCAACGACAATAAAACTTTTCAAATCACTAACACAAAATTACAAAGGATCACATGTCACATCCCCAGATCTCGCTTGATGTCTTTATTTTAGATTTTAATCATGGGCTGATCATTTGACCTTGAGATCACAGTTCCCACCAGGAGAAGACTTGGCTGCGATTGGTTGCTATGTTATTTTTTGTATAATATTTTGTGACTCTCCCAGGGACATCTCTATGTAGTATAAATTAACGGAAGTTGAGTTCTTGGATTCATTGTGTGCTGGCTGCGTGTTTGAAGAATATACATTTTACACTATATCAAGACTTCTCGTTAGTACTTATGGGTCAACGGATCAGAGTAGCCTACCTGGACGCTGGTTTATTGTCACGTTCTCATTTTTCAACTAAGATGAACCCGTAATAGTTTTAAGTATACCTAGTGACAAGTGTAACGATTGGCGACGATGATGGGATGAAGTAGGTGTAGCATGAGCACATTTATAATGGTTAGGTAACTTATGCTGAACAACGTGAACTTCGGAAACACCCTGGCCCCCAGACTGAACCAAAGTGGTGTCATGCTGCAAGTTGATGGTCCGTTGGTACTCATCAGTGATCACATCGAGTGTCAGTGCTGAGTTCTGTTCAAGGCGGTTAGGCAACCAGCGTCCAAGTACGCTACTGCGATCCGTTGACCCCAAAGGTACTAACGAGAAGTCTTGATATAGCGGAGAAAGTCTATACTACAAACACTCAGCCAGCACACAATCAATCCAAGCACACAAATCGCGGTTATTTATACACCATAGAGACGTCCCTGGGTGAGTCACAAAATAGCACACAAAAATAACACAGTAATCAATCACAGACAAGGCTTTTCCTGGTAGGAACTATGGTCTCAAGGTCAAATGATTAGCCCATGAAATAAATAAAAAATAAAGACATTTACCAGGCGAGTTCTGACGATCTAATATCCCCAACAATTACACAGTAAACTCAAGCTAACTCTATACAAGGAAAATATAACATATTTAAGCACAAACTCATGGTCACATCTTCGCACCCTTGTGATAAGCATAATCTCAAACGTGAAAACTCCAATTAACATGGTCAAGCGAAAAATAATAGTAATGAAATAATGTCTGCACTTGACCACCCTGCACACACACACACACACACACGAACAAAACCGCTTTGTTAAATCAACCTATATTCTATACAATTCACCCAACACAATATCAATCAGTTGGTTAGTTCATAGATTGCACAAAATAATCATTTAAAAACAACAGTTACAATGGCAATCATAATCATTGACTTACATGATCCAATTCTTCACCACCTAATACGGAAGAGGTTTGTTCAGTTTTTATCATCATCGATACATCATTAGCCTCATTACTGACATTATGATTATCATGATTATTATTATCATCGTCACCATGTTTCATATCCATTGGACAAATCATGTTGTTTCTGTTAACATTAGCAACAGTAGGATGAGACGCTTCAATTGTTGGACAACTCATCCCACTGGATGAAAGAACAACATTTGTATCACAATTTGAAACTGGTAAATCCACTTGTTGTTGCTGTTGTTGTTGATGTTCCATCAAAGTATACTGACCAGCTTCTTTGGCAAAACGAAGTCGAAGTGGAGGACCACCAACACTGTTATTCTGACTGGGTGTATGATTGCCACTACTGTTACTAGTAGACGTCGTTGTTGTAGTACCTCCAGTTAATGGAGTCAATGTATTATCGTTGTTATTATCCAAAGTGATATTTCCACACTCCACAATTGTTGATAAATTGCAAGAAGATAGTTGGCATGCGTGCTTTGACAATGAACCACCACTACCACTACTACCACTTACACTAACACCAGCAACACTACCAATATTGTTATGACTACTTGGGCTAATATTCGTGTTTGTATTCACAATGGTAGTAGTAGTAGTAGTATTCGTAGTACCGACGGTAGCAGTAGTAGCGGCGGCGGCAGCTGCAGCAGTAGTAGTAGTCAAAGTAGGAACAATGGTAGAATTGGAAGAAGTTGACTTATTCAAATTGATCGAATGTCCTGCTGTTTGTATGTTTGTATTACTACTATTAGTAGCACCAGCAGACGTAGGATGTAGTAGTGAATTCCCAGAATTCTTCACTGTCTCATCATTCTCATCATCTTCAAATGCATAAGGATCTTTCTTCACTAGATAGATAGAGATGCAAACCAGCAAGTAAACAAAGACACATAGATCACAATTACGAAATTCACTATCATCACAAACAATTTGCGCGTCACTAATACTGTCACTAATATTATTATTGTGATGATTTATGTAATCTCAAGAAATGCCACAGTTGTCATGCCTATACAAGTGTATTCCAACTTTTCTCGGTCGCTTCCAATCAGTAAATACACAAGTAAATGAATAACACACTCAATCAGTGTACACCAGCCAGTGATGAAAATATTTTCAAAGTGATGACAACAACAACGATTATGATCGTTTAGTTCCAAACTTCACACTTTACTTGTCGTATAAAAGTACTCCATATGATAAGAATTTACACGCTCACACTACTACCACTACTACAACAGACATATGCAAAAAACAGAAACACTGAATATTCTAATCTGCTTACTTATTGGCATAAAAAAATTGTTTGTATACTGCTACTGATGCTGCTGTGTCAACTTACACCACCTCGCTCTCCTAGTCGTCGACTATACAAACGCATACCCCTGTGCGCATATGTCTTTCACAAGTCTATACTGCTTATTTCATTGTTACCACGAGAAAAACCAACGCAACTGTCCAAACACACCACCTAAAAACTAGCTGGCTAGCTACCATATCTCTTGTTGACAAACACAACGTACAATCTACACCTACATTATACAGCATATCTCACGCACTACTTACTGCTGCTACTATGATTACCAATGATAACGCCACCGTCACAGACAGACACACTGATATACTACCGAACACAAAAATACATACACCAATTAGCCAATCCATGCCTCCTGCCTAATCCACACAACGACAGGCAAGCACGAATATAAATACTATAACAAATTACAACTTCATCTAGTCACCACTAACTTGACTCCTTGCCTATACACACCTACACATGTACAGGTCACAAACAAGAGACAATAAACAAAGCAAATGTCACTACTTACGGTAATTTAGCATTTCTTGTCAGTTAATACTGTTCTTCAAACCATCACATACAAATACTGGCAAATACATACACATACAAGCATCTGGCCTTCATTGGTTGTTTACAAATTCATACGAAATATGACATCAACCTAAACATTCAATCTAAATCAGCTGAACGACACGAGATTTTTTGAAGTACAACAAACACCACCTCCTCCTGACTGGTAGTTAACGTAACAGATGATTTACGTCAAATCTGACATCACGACTGTCCAACTGTACAAGATAAAGTCACTAATCGATCCAATTATCATTCACACAGTAGACATGTGATTTATGATAGTGCTAAACCAAAATAGTGATCGCTTCCAACAAAATTAATTATTTCCAATGAACCAAGGTCACGAACAACCACATTACAGCGACTCAAAAAACGGATTGGAATTCCCAACACTGCTACAGATGCACTCATTCCTTCGTTTACACGAGATTTCCAAAATTAACGCTAATTCGTTTTCGACATTCGACCATATTCTTCGAACTGTACTTCCCATCTTTGAGTTTGATCACCTCAGACATATAAATCCTACGAATTACTATACTAACTACAAATGAGACAATGTAAGTCAATAAACACTTCTGTCAAATCCCACACACTATGCCAATCACGAACAACGGATAAAACGCTAATCATTGAAAGTTTCCACCTAACTTTCACAAAACACAGTCAATAATGACAATTAGATCGTTTCGTAAAGGTCATATACTAATGATGTACCTAGAGTTACTTATCAATACATCCACTAATTATTTTCAGATAATTATGATAAGAATAACAATCAAGTGCAAAATACATAATAGCCAAAGCTCGTCTTATTGATTTTTCAACACTAATACACATCACAAAATCCTTCTGCGTTCATCTCAAATAACCCGTAAGTGAGGCGTAAGATTTGATAGTCCAGATTCGTGAGTATTAATAGTTAATCGTATCATACCCTAAAATATTTTCCATAGAATTCATCAACACATTCAAAAGTTTACAATAAGAAGGGGAAACGTGTACAAGTGTGCATATATTGTGATAAAGTTCCATTCTCTGAGCTGGAACAGACACACACAAACGAAAAATACTTACATGATCTAGCTGAAGAGATGTGCACATCTGTTGTTATGGATTTTGGTAAAGATAACAATGACGGACTAGATGTTGCATGATTAAATTGACTGGTAGATGATGGACAAATCAAATCTAACTGCTGATTAGTAGCAGTGGCAGTAATAGTAGCCGTAGTAATAGGACTAATATTATGATGAGATATATTCGTTGTTATACTCAAACCTGAATGCGAATGACCATCATCTTCTGACTCTGAACAAACATCAGCTGGACTCGCTACGCTACTGTTATCTTTCACTCCACCACTATGATATTCAGTGGAGCTAGATACTGTAGTACCAGACAAAGAGGATATTACATGTTTTGTACCATGTGTATGATGTTGGCGAACTTTCAAATGTGATGACTTCCCAGAACCAGACGACGACATCATGTGTGATTGATTAGTTTCAGTATGCTAAAATATACAAGTACAGCGACAACAACAACCATTCAGTGAATCGATCGTTGGGCAATTTAACACATATAACGTAAGAACTGACCTAAATGACTATTCGTTACCAGTTGCCATATTTTACATTAGCGTTGGAACAGAATATTCAAGAGACGACAAGCACAGTCGAAATAATAATATCAACAGTAGTGGAAACTAAATACAAAAAATATTTTCCGAGAGGAACTGATCAAGCCTCCAACGCACACTAGCGTAACCAGTGACTGGTCAAGATTTTCATGTGCCCCAACCCTTTGACAGTCATTACTGCTATTGGATTTGAACTGACAGTTGTGTCTCTGTGTGTCTCTGCTAACTGACTAGCAGTCGATCGAAGTTCATTACCTCACCAAATGATGTGACACTCTTACTGAGTAAGCGAACTACCATCACAACTACTCATTCGGTGATTTCAATTCACGACAGCGATGATGCGCACACCTGTTTTCAAATAAACAACTTCAAGATAAAGTTTATACCCGAGAAAAGAGGCAAATCACTTTCATAAACACAATACAGCTACCCATATTTACAAAATACTGAAAAGTCTATCATAATAAAAGTACATCTGAGATGGCGAAGAATATTTGTAGCTAAGGTGTATGACTGTGGTTCACTTTCTTTCTCTGAAGCTGGATGTCTTGGTGGTGGAGTGTTCATTGTCGATCTGGACAACAGAACCAGAACAAACTTCAGATAGAAGTGAAGTATTCGAAATTATCTACGTATGAGCCGTAGCTTATACATTTCATTAGATGAAAACCAGTCCACAAAATATAGGCAACGATCGTGTTGACAGACAATACATTTTTAAAATGTTGAACACATCCCTCGCCCACATTTATGCCATACATTATATGATATTATATTTAGACGAATAAAGTGGTGCAAAAGGACACCTAAGTATATCTGCACTGAACAAATCACTGAATCTGTAAGTACTGAGATACTGCCCGGGTGCCCAGACCGAAACACGTCTCTCTTAGGCAACCTATGGATACAACAAATCAGTCACATAACTGCCTTTTCATCACCGATCAGTAGTTACGCAATCACCTAATAATAAAGTGTCTTAAGCGATCATGATCTCGACTCTCTAAAGTGTCTTAAGCGATCATGATCTCGACTCTCATCTCAAGTCTAAAGGCTAAACAAATAAGAATGACTCAGTTAACCAGTAATAATCAAAGTCACTGCATAAGTTTTGGGACTATCTTAAAAATATTCAAAGGTGCAATTCTTTCAAGGAACCTATCGCATCGATAAACTTCTGTTGTTTTTACGACACAATTTTTAACGGAAAATGTCACTACTAAAAAACTACATCCACAACATACCTACCTGTTTGAGGAAACTGCATACTTCTGGGTCATGACACAAATCCAAAGGTTTCTCACCCTTATGGTTTGATAGCAGGGGATCACAGTTGTAATATAACAGAGCTCGAACAATACGCAGACATCCTGATCGCGCAGCACTATGAAGTGCTGTGTCACCGTTCATGTTTGCGATCCCAGGGTCGGCTCCATGCCGTAGCAAATAATCTACCATACGTGGAAGGTTCCGCAAACATGCTTCGTGCAATACAGTCCAACCTACAAATTTGAGTGCAAATACATCAACAACAGCCCTTATGATCATACGAAATACGAAAATCTACCAGTGATCACAAAGAAAGCCTGACGAACTGGGAATAATGATCAAAGCCAACTAGTTACATTAAGTTAATAAAAGCCCTACTTTCGAATCGTACATTCCACATCGAAAATAGTAAACTGTGAAGTAAACTACCTAGATTATAGCACACAGATTATAGATCAGTCCATAATAAAAAACAACCAAATAGCTTGATTCGTTCTACACCTCTGCTACTTTCGGTCTCCATACAACCGAATCACAAACACGATCTATGTTGCATAATTTTAAGCTTTCTACACAAACACAATGACATGTTCTCAACAATATGAAACAAAATCCTCCTGTTTCTATTCGTGCATTTCCTTACCTGTTTCATCTTGTTCGTTTATGTTCACTCCCTCCTTTACCATTTGTTTGATCGAATCCAAATCCCCATTCCTTGCCAAACGAATTAAACTCACATCTCGAACAGTTAGAGGACGTCTACCATCACGTTTCTCGGATCCTGAAAATATGGCATAGCAATAAGTGAGAGCTATTAAAGTAGGCATTAGAATAACACAAGCTTTTAAACACTGTTTGTACTGACGAGTCTATTTTATACGACAACCGGAAATCACTTCAACCACTACTGGATAAGCAATAATTCATTCACCTAAGAAATATGTTCAACAGATAAATCGATAGTCTACCTAGTAATAATTTTAATTGTAATTTGTAAAAGCTATTTTACATAAACGACAAAATTCAATTTAAATAGTCCGATATACGAATTAGCAAACTATACCACAGAAGTAAATTCATTAGGAATTCGTCAATGACATGAAGGATTGTTTAATTATTTGTTTTGCATTTGTCAGTTACTATGTTGATAAACAATTGACCATCACGTTAAGAAACAGTTTCAATACTAATGAAATATTGATAAACTACTATCACACACAGTACACGATACAATACACACTGGAATTTACTCCGACATATCATGGTTTGTTTCATACAGCATCTATCATTGCTCACCGCTAGTATTCCAAAACATCCCATTTCTACACACCCTTTTGATGCTCGAAAAATCACTAGTCAACTATGTTTCCACAAATGAATGTCACAGAACAGGTCTGAGAGCACGAATATTTGCGAAAAGGTACTTGGTTTTATCAGTAAACTATGATTCGACTCAGTATATTATTAATTCGCGGCGAAACTCATGAGTGAATCAACAAGATAAAAACAACAATAATGGTATGTCCATAATCCAGCGTGACACAAGCATTGGAAAGAATAAATAACTAGTACTGATCGAATCCAATAGTGTTTGGTGCTCCTAGATAACCATAATACGAATCACTCATGCCACGCTCTACAATGTGCTTTAGGTCACGGCCTACACCTTAAATCAATGAATAGATATATAGATTAGAATTTTGAACATGTTTTCTTTTCCTTCTCACGGTTAACTGAACAACGTTTCGCCAAAAGTATTTATAATACACTTTCTATGACATCCTTCTCCGAAATCACATGTGGTACACAAGTAAATACTAAAAACAAGGAAGCTTACATTATTGAGAAGCGAAATACATCACCCAGTCAAAGCAAACGTAAGGATAACAAGTATATATAAATGTTTTTCAACGACCGTACGCCTAAACATTAGTAGCCATGTCATTCAAAACACTGATACAAGTCAACTATTACTTGTAACCGAACTAACATTGATACCAACAGAATTTTAGAGATTTTCCATTGACATATCAGAAGACATTCGGACTACCAACGTGAGTAATAGAATATGGAAAACATCAACTAATATACTACTGTTTAACTAAGGTATGCAGTGGATAGTTGTGAGAGAACATTGGTTAACCTACATGATTAAAGTGGTTTCGACTGCACCGTCAAAAACCGCTGTTACCACTGATTAGTTGACTAGATGCTTAGTGTACACTGAAACAAGAATTCTATCACACAGAATCCAGATAGAACCTACAGACTATACTATCGACCCCAAACCTGATTTTAGCAATCCCTGATTATAATGTATATTAATGATTTAGATGGAGGGCTGAATCCAAAGACAAAACTACAAAATCGGCTAATTACTGTGGAATTTGATCAAGACTACGTACCTAAGCACTTTAGACATGGAGAAATCAATCGATAGGATCAGATTAACTGTATCCAAAAACCTTGAGATAAATCGCAGGCCCGATGACCACGATATTCTATATGTAGCCTGATAGGGGTTAGTCATCTACAGACTCAGAGAATGCAACTGTCACTCCAATTCATAAAACATGATCAAAACAATGTTCATTAGACTATAGACCAGTCAAAACATTAGAAAGAATAATCAATAAGGTTATAATGACTTTCTTAGAAACAAATAAACTGTTAAACAGTGAACACGACTTTAAGAGACGGTAATCATGCACAACAAACCTGCTTATAAAGAATCATCGACTCCTAGAATCTATCTCGCGAAGACGTGATGTCAGAGTTTTCTATAACCTTGTTCAAGAAAACTAGACACTATTATAAGCTTACTAGAAATAGACTAACACAGGTCATTGGACTTCTGTCCCAAATATACAAATGTGAACCTGATAACATTAATTAGGAACTCAAAATTGTATTAAACCGATGTCAACTGCTACTATCAGTGGTAATTGACATGAATTGATGCAAGGACATATACTACATCTACGTGGCCAATGATTCCCTTAATATTAGTTTAAGTTCTCTGTAATCCCATTTTTAAAACAATAATACCCTATCTATATAAGATCTAAGCGACAGGACAAGAGTATAATCACATCACAACCCTCTAATCGTACTGACCTTCTTGGTCCCTAACCCTTCTCCTTTCTTCTCTCATCGCTAACTTCAAAAAAGCCGCAGTCACCTTGACTAAGGTCCAAGAACCAAAAAGTCAGATATGGATTTTTGGAGTAGGAACGTTCACAGAGTCTCCACGTGAAATAATTTTATTTTCCTAGCCGTTTCGGTGATAACTTAATAGATTTTTACAACACCAAAATAATACAAAATATTATGGTGATAGTTATGTTATTCTATCAAACCATTACGGCCGGTGTTGTAATGCAGAACTTAAATGTTTTCACTGATGTTTGATAACTCATAAATTATCCAGAGTAGATTACCATATTCGTCAGTTTTTAGCTAAGTTATCAACATGAAACTATTGTTGTCTAATTGTTGCCCGAACTATACGGGAGACGCAGCCGAGGAAAATGCGACTCTTCACTTTATGCGAAGACAACTTGGTGCTATCACCCCAGAATTATTCTTAACATTATTTAGGACGTATGATTACCTACACCTGGGGGTTCACAACTTCATCACACCCCCCTTTGGTTTAATAACCACAGAAAGCCTCTACACCGGTCCAAACTATGTAGGGGATGCAGCAAAGGCAAATGCGACTCTTCACTTTATGCGAAGACAACTTGGTGCTATCACCCCAGAATTATTCTTAACATTATTTAGGACGTATGATTACCTACACCTGGAGGTTCACAACTTCATCACACCCCCCTCTGCCTAAAAGAGACAAATCTCTTGGATCGAGTGCAGAGACCAGCAACCAAATGGGTGATAGGGTTGAAAAATAAACCCTACGACGATATACTCCAGCTATTGGGATTATTCCCACCGAGCTACAGGAGAATCAGAGGTGATCTGATTATGGCGTACACCATATTAAACACGCCAAACCATCCCATTGTGAGCATCTTACCAATGCATCAACACCACTCACCTCGAGGCAATCCTCGAAAGATTGCACATCAAAGAGCGAATACTCAGATTCGTGCACACTTTTTCTCATTGCGAGTCGTCGCAACTTGGAATGTTCTCCCAGCCAATGTAAACACAGCCCCATCAGTGGACTGCTTTAAGAAGAGACTTGATATTCACGTACTCGCAAGCTGTTCATGATGCATATCTTGAGATCTGCTAGCTGTTATTATTGCGCGATAACGTGTGCGCGCTTCGAATTTGACGTGTCCTCGCTTACTCTCTTCCATTTACGGGAAACAATCCGCTTTCGGGATATTTTATCACCTCCGAAGCTATAAAAAGTTGTCTCCATTCATTGGTTGACAATCTGAAAACATTTTCGGGCATACGGAACCACTCCAAGTCAGAATCATTTGCGCGGTAGGTCTAGCTACCTCATTCAACTGCTCTATTTCTAGTTGATTCGGCAGCATACATACATCCACTCACTCACAAACACAGGACTTGTGGACAAGTTACTGGATGCACGCAAAGTTACTTACTAATACGGTCAAAGGTAAACTCGCAATTTTGGAGTAATTTCGGGCTCTATTTCTCGTAGTTTTATCATATACTACTAAATTTCTTCTTTCCTAAACCCCTTTTTTGTTTCTCCTATTCTAATTTTGTGTATCTCGTATTCTAATTATCTTGGTATTCACCTCCTAATCTCCCTGGCATCATGTCAAGTAATAAGGTCGCTAGTACACTTTACACTGTACCAACCAGGAAAACTTATAGAGGCATAAACCCCGGGGTCGATAGTGCATCGAAAATCCCAATATCGTTGGAACGTGTTGCTAAAAAACCCAAAAAGTCAGTCGATAGTACGCCCCTCAGTGTCCATACTTTAGACCACTGGACTCAGACACCACAGAGGAAGCAAGACACCACTCCTCTTCCTAAAAAGTCAGTCAGTCAATTGCAACGTAGAACTTTGTACATATGTACATAAGTTCATGTTGCCATACCACATTAGCATAGAGACGCAAATATCAAATCAAATCCCATAGTGATAAAGATAGTAGAGGTATTAATGTTAATAAAGAAGACTAGGGTTCGGAGATATTATTCAAAAAATATAATTCAGTGAGATAAGGTTAGAATAACAAAGGTAGAGGTGCCGACGATTCCAGAAGATTAGGATTTGAGAGAGCTCAAAGAGTGGATGCACCTGCGCCATTGCCAACGATTTTGAGCCATGTCGTTCAAGGTCTCTCTAACCATTGATGACTTTCGTCTCGCGGACCCCAACCAGGTAGTCGACATCTACCAACATGACTCAGTCCACTTTTCAGTGACTTCATGGATTTCTGCCATGTTTTGGTCTGGCCGCCCCTAACTTTCTTCCAACCTACTCCTACACCACAAAACATAGCTCGTCGAGGCAGTCGGTGGTTCGGCATACGTAACACATGTCCCAACCACCTTAACTGATGAAATTTCATCACTTCATCTATTGATCTGCCATCCTTACCTAATACTCGTTTCCTAACGACAGCATTGCTTACTCGGCTGTCCCACGATATACGAGCAATGTTTCTTAAACATCTATGATCGAATACTAGTAACCTACGAACATCTTCTACTCTTAACGGCCATGTTTCACAGCCATATAGGAGAACGGAACGAACTGCTGCGCAGTACACCCGCCCTTTGGTTAGCGAACGGATATCACGCCTACGCCATAAGTGACGCAGGTTGGCAAAAGCCAATCGAGCCTTCTGTATCCGAGCTGAGATTTCGTCAGTCACCAAGCCGTCAGCACTGATGAGTCTCCCCAGATAAGTGAAGTGATCAACACGCTCGACTACTTCACTCCCTATCACTAGTTCAGGTGCCAATGCAACCCAGTCTTGAAGCAGCATTTTGCATTTCGAGGGGGAAAACCACATCCCGAACATACTTGCATTGTTGCTTATGGTAGTCAGAAGACTGCATTTTGTCAGCGTCTTCACCGAATAGAACTATGTCATCGGCATATTCTAGATCAGTAAGCGACTTTCCTGGTAGAAGGTCAACCCCTGAAAAATCTGACGAGCTTAATGTTAACTCTAAGAGGATGTCTACGACAAAGTTAAACAAGAATGGAGAGAGTGGACAGCCCTGACGGACACCACTTGATGTGGAGAATTCAGATGACAGTTCGCCGTATGCTCTCACCCGACCAGTGGTGTTCGAGTAGAGTGCTTGTATAAGGTTAATGTACTTCTTTGGTACACCTTTCATTGACAGACACTGCCACAGAACCTCACGATCAACTGAGTCGAATGCCGCCTTAAGGTCCAGGAACACGACTATTGTCGGACGTCTAAATATGTGTCTGTGTTCCAGGACCTGTCGTAGTGTGAAGATGTGGTCTATACCACCACGTCCGGGTCGAAAACCAGACTGGTTTTCTCCAGTCTGCTCTTCACGAGCTCTAGTTAGACGTCTAAGTATAATGGAGGCTAACAATTTGGAAACTATATTAGTTTCTTCGAATTTTAAAAAGGCTTTTGATAAAGTCCCACACAAAAGGCTTCTACTTAAACTGAAGTCATTCGGAATCATCAACCCACTGCACTCATGGTTAGCTTCATTCCTAAATGGACGACAACAAATGATAAAGTACAATGACTGTCTTTCATCACCAAGACCAATAACCAGTGGGGTTATCCAGGGAAGTGTCTTAGGTCCACTCTTGTTTCTAATGTACATTAATGACATATGTAATACTATAAAATTTGGAAGAGCATACTTATATGCTGATGATCTGAAAATAGTATACAGCTATAAGCCTGAAGATCTGGACGAAAATATAGCTAAGATTCAGAGTGATCTTGATAACTTAAGTACCTGGAGCGAGACATGGCAACTGCCGTTTAACCACAACAAATGTGGCATAATGCATTTTGGCAAGCATCACCTTGATTCACCAGTCTACTTACAAAAATGTAGGGTTCAGACACTCATATCAGCGCGTGACCTTGGTATTAGTTACTCTAAAAGCCTAAAATTCGAAGAACATGCCTCAAATATTATCTCTAAATCTAGACGACTCATTGGGTTTATAAACAAGAACTTCTTCACAAGTGAGGCTAAGCTTACTCTCTTCAAAATCTGTATAAGGCCCACACTTGAATATTGTTCATTCATATTTTCAAACATGAATATCATGGACAAAATGCGAGTAGAAAATGTACAAAGAAGCTTCACCCGGCGACTGCTCGGATTCAGCCATAACCTCGACTACACAGAGAGATGCAAGCATCTTTCCCTAGAACCTCTATGGCGCCGTCGTCTCAAAAACAACCTAATGCTGCTCTATAAACTAATAAGTGGCCTTTCTTTCGTAAAATACCGCCCAAATAAGAACCACGACACTGCTTACAGACTTAGAAACAACGCATATACACTATTAACGGCAAAACACAAGAAATCATTCCGTTGTAATTTCTTTGTAATACGATACAGTCTACTGTGGAACAGGTTACCAATTAATATCCGTATCTTGTAGCCATTTTTTAGTCAGTACACAATCGATCCTTAAGAAATCCTGCCTGTTGATCTCGAAGTTGGGCGTCTACGAAGTCCTTCATTCTGTTTAACAAACCGTTGAAGACTTTACCTGGTATTGAAATAAGAGTGATGCCTCTGAAGTTCTAACATTTGCTGAGATCGCCTTTCTTCGGTATTTTGATGAGGTATCCTTCTTTCCAATCTGATGGTACTTGCTCCTCATCCCAAATCTTCTTGAAGAGGATGTGAAATATTTTCGCAGTTGCTTCCACATCTGCTTTCATTGCATCTGCTGGAATGTTGTCTAGTCCTGCTGCTTTGCCGTTCTTGATTTGTCTGATGGCCATACTGATCTCCTCAAATGTAGGTGCGCCAATATTAATTGGGAGATCCGTTGATGCTGCTTCGATGTTGGGTGTGTTCAGTGGAGCTGGTCGATTCAACAGTTCCTTAAAGTGCAACATTGGAAATAGTTGATATAAGTTGATTAGTAGATTTCAAGTAATCATTACAACACGAAGTGGTTTGAATGTTTTGTATTGATCATTAGGAGTTTATTTATCTGTGTTCTATCTA